TTCTTGGAGATACTCAATGGAAAGATACAGAATTAAGTAAGCTAGAAGTGTAGTTGTCATTAATCTGTTTCTTCTCTGATTCACATTAGCCAATCTCCCCTACTTACCTGAACAGTCTTCCTCAGCTGCCAAACTGCCCTCAAAACAGACTGTCTTCTCAAAGATGGTGGAGCTGGCAAGCACAAGGAGGAATACTAAACTTATGCGTGCAAGTGGCAGTTAGATCTTCCTCTCATTTTCCATTTCTTAACCTTCTTTTTGTTTGTTTGTTTTAATTCTGGAAAGTAGTTGTGTGGTTTGCCTTTGCATCTATACATTGATGACATGATTTCATTCATTACCTTTGTGCAGGGCACTTTTTAAAGATATCCAGTAAAGAATCAGTATGAATTCTGCCTCATGATGTTAAATTAAAGGAAAATCTGTACATAGTTAGAAGGTAGTACACAATGAAAAGGAATGAAAAGAGTTAGTGTTGGGGGTGTTTAGAAGAAGAACAGAGAATAACTGGCTAGAGAGAAAATAGGTAAGACTTTTGAAGAGGTAGCTTTGACTGAGAAGCTTTGCTGGACATTATGGAGTCACTAAAGACCTTTGGGTTTGGAAGTGAAATATCAGTTGCTGTGAGAGCAATGAGTAGACTAAAAAAGAGAAATGAACGCTTGCACGCAGAAAGGTCAGTGAGGAGACCACGCAAAAGGGCTGAAACTTGTCTGCAGGAGACGGAAGATGTGTTTGGTGAAAGTAGCTAATGCTGAGGTGACAACTAGAAGAATGGAGTTCTTGTAGGGAACACGGGCAAGAGGAATGACAAGGTCCCCCAGTAAGTAGAATAGGAGCACACAGCCCATGGACAGTAACGGTGATCACAGGGAGAGGCACTTTGCAGGGGAAGTTAACAGACTACTGGAGGTGCACTGAGCCTGGAAAGCCAAGAGCACATCCACCATCAGGAACCCAAAATGAAGGTCTGCAGCTCAGGACAAGAAGCAAGACATCCTGAGATATCCCCTGACAGAGACTATGGAAAACTTTGAAGGGCCTCCTGGTTCATTTTCATAAAAAAAAAAAAAAAAAAAAAAACCTTGGCATCCACAAAGTTGTTTGCATTAGGATTTTTCTTATAGAAAGAAGTTTATCACAATATGTAAATTCCACAACTGAGTAATGTGAACCTGATTTGGGCTTGATTTTTAAGTCAGGAATATTGTTCTAAGGATGCTTTTTAGATTATTTCTGCCAAAAGACACAATAATCTTTAAATGACATAGGGGATTTGAGATGATAATCTCATTTCTTGCACTTATATCATGATTCTAAATATTCCTATCTTATACTTTATACTTGAATATCCTAACTGCTGAGATTATAAAAGGTAATGTATTATAGAAAACTTGGACAAAAGAAAAACATACAAAAAGAAGCAAAAAAAAAACAAAAAAAAAACCCAAGTACCAGGAGCCAACTACTATTGATACATATTCTTCTAATATATATGAACATGTACATAGGTATTCGCATGTGTGTGTACATGTGGACATATATATACAGACTTTATGAAAATAATTATATAGATAATATATGAACACACAAATTTTCTTTGTATTGTGGATCATTTTGTTTCCCTTTTTCTTTTCAGCTGACATTTGATCATTTTTCCATGTCGTTTAAAGTGGTTCCAAAAGCTTCATATCCACATGCTGCATAGTATTTCTTTGTATGAGCCCATCATAACAGTGAAGCATTCTCTTGTCTTTGGACAATTCAGCGGGGCATGTACTTTAAGAGGATGCGGTAGATGTCTCTTCTGTTCACACCACATTACTCCAAATGAACACTTCCTCATCTTCACTTTCTCTTTTCACCACGTAAACCCTTGATGATAGAGGCTTTGGATGGAGTCACATCATGGCCAAGTGTAAAAAGTACACAAGTAGTCAGGACTGGTTAGGCCATACAGAATCAGTAGTTTACCTCCAAGTCAGCTGTTTCTTCTATCTTCCATTGGCATTTGTTTTGTTTTCTTTTTTTTCTTTCGTGGGTTTTTGTTTCTTTCTTTGTTTTTGCTACAGGGCTCATGTGCTTGCCACAGAGAGGCAGGGAGTGGAGAAGTGAGAAATCACTCCCTGGGGGGATGGCCATGTTACAATAATTTTTCCTCCATTCTCCTGTCAGGATTTTTGAGTATGCAAGCATATGCACCCAGTGTATCTTTCAAGCCACCAGATCTGGGACTTGAACTATTCAGTCAGCCATGTGGGATCTCGCCCTCTTAACCCCCGTGCTACCCATGGGGCCTTTTTAGATTATTTTTAGAAATCATTTCTACCTCCTTTCCCACTATGCACATATTCAGACACATGTCTGAATGCATTCATGAGTACTTACACACCCAAACGGAGACCTAGCTATAGGGAGAACATCTTTAAGTTGCCTAAGGAATAAAAGCATACTAAAGGTAAACCATTGGAGGCTAGGTTTAGGCAGGAGTGCCTTCCCCTCTATGACAGTGTAGAGGAAGGACAGAGCCACAGCACAGACCCTGAGAGAACAGAGTCCATGGTCATGAATATGCATTAGTCAGACTGTACAGAGCACCATTGTTTTGATACCTTTCTGTTTTCACAGGTGCCTCAGAGTCATTTATGAGTCTTCACCATGACCTGTACCATAGAAAGATAAATATAGCTAAGTTTTGCTGAATCCAGGTTTAAAGTTCCTGTTCAAACAAAAACATAATTTCTAAATCAGTCCAAAGCAGAACCCAACCAACATCGTGAATTCTATACACCCTTCTTTTCATTCCCTTTCTTCACTTCAACTCATCTCCTTCAAAGTTACTGTCTTCATTGTAAATATCAGCAGGTGATAAATCAACTGGAGAGATCTGCAACAATTCATTCTAATATTGAAGATGACAAATTATAGTCATAAATTTTTTCAGGAAGGAAAGCAATGGTATGCATCTCTGCATATACAAATTGCTGTAGGCATGAATAAAGATTCTAAGGTCAGGTAAAATATAACTTCAAAGTCAATTTGATTTATACCTTAATTGACTAGCTGTTGGATAAAGGTGTATGTCCAGCGTTATTTGATGGACTTTGGATGGCTGCTATTCTTTAAAAGATAGTCCCTTTAGAAAGAATATCCCCATAATTACTAGATGTAAGAATTATGGCAAAGAGATCACATGACTCTAACAAAAGGCAGAATCAGGCTTACATTCCATTTTATCAGAAAAAAGTAGAAAAGGATAGGAAGCTAAATTCTAAAAATCAAGAAGAAAAGATTAGTAAAATATTCATTTTATGTTTGTGTTGAAGAGCCATGTCCAAAAGGTAGAATCCAGTCTTATGAACATGGTTAGTTAAGAGTAACACACACATACTCATGCACATGCACTCCACGAAAAATTTTGTCCTACAAATGAATATAAAAAAATGGAGTGATACAAACAAATACAGAAAAGGTAGTCAAGTAAAATAAATTAGTATTCCAGTGATCTTCCTTGGAATGGATATTATCTTCATCGCCTTGTTTCCCATTGTCTTAAAACAAATGTAATTTCTTTCATGTATCCCGTTACTGTTTAGTGATTTCTTCAGAAACTGTGCAGGCCTCTTTCTTTATCCCTCTCTCCTTACCTTTCACACTCTCCAGTCAACGCCATTTTATCTTTCTGTTCCTCAGTGTGCCAAGCTCACTCTTTCTACCCACACACATAGATTTGCTAGCCGTGTGCAAAGAACAAAATCTATCAGAGGATGGGGTCACAAGTTTAGTAATTTATTTAAATATATAAACACATTTATACTGGGTATGGAGATATTATATAGCTACATAAGTATATACCTATTCATCTCTCCCAGGGGCCTAGAAAGAATATATGAGTTCCTGAGTATTCAGAAGAGGATCTTCTTGTCACTTGTCTGTTGCAAATGAACACCTTCAGCTTATGCTCTACCATGCTCTGTGTCCATGCATAGAGCTTTCCCCATCTTCCCTCTTGATAAAGGCTCTGTTGCACTCGCCCTCTTGTACAAAACCTAGAAGTCACAAATCGATCACAAGAAAAAGACTCAATCTCACCACCTGGAGCATTAGCTTAAATAAGTGAAGTAGGCTTGTGTTGTTTATCAGAGTCCTAAAGGCCTCTGGGGACATCCTATAGCTTTTAATGCCATTTCTTATGGTTCCTTCAACCTCCACTCTGTCTCTAAACCTCACAGGAAGTTTCTCAAGGCACTAGATATGCCAGCAACAGCCACAGCACTCACAGCTTTCACCACCATACCATAGCATAGCAGTTAACACTATATGACATTTTATAGACCACCAAAAAAAAAATCCTCTCATAATCTTATTTTGACTACCTACTTTTATTTTGGTAGAGAATTGCTTTGCTGATAGTTATCTACTATATTTAGGGTTCTCCTCCCCCTTATAAAATACCCAGGTGGCTGTTTTCCAGGTATTAGTAAACTCCTTAGATCCTCCAAGTGAAGAAACCTATTTGCTAATGCATGATGCATAGTATTGTCAGTTCTGAGTACATTTCTCCTATTTCGATAGCTCTCTCTTTCATCAGAGGTGAGAGGGTAACTCTAATTACTTGGTGAGCATCTGGAAGTAACATTAATGATGGTAATAATAATGACCTCATAGGATGTATAATTTGGGGGATTAAAGAATATTTACAAGCTTATTGTGTCATAGTTAATGATGAGGTGCCAAGTTTTCTTGCCACCACCCTTTCCAGTGGTATTTCCTGCTTGCATCGGAGAAGTAATTACAGTAAATGGTGCCCTTTCAAAGAACTTGCCCCATCTGAAAGCAAACGCTAGGATAAAGATATTGAACTGTTTCAGTGTTGTTTTTCAGAGGTGATTTATTAATGTTTTGCACTTGTATAAAAATTGTGTATAATGTAATCATTTAGTGTTTATTTTATTGTGTGTACCTTCTACTCAGAGGGTTGGCATTATTGTTCCTAACAGTGACGGATACAAGCAGATCATGCCTTATGACCTCTACCATCCCCTTCCTCGGTACGTAAATCAATCATCCTGATGTTAGACTTAGCCAATCAGTCTTCTGCTTTTATAGAGATATAGATATATAGAGATATATACACACATAGAGAAAGATATAGATACTGTGTTTTTCTATAAAAATAAGATGGTAGATGGTATATTTTGCAATCCACCCTGAGTTCTGCTTTTGAATTATATAGGCCTGCTTAGACTATAAGCTTGTCACTCAAAAACCACTTGAAGATCAAATCATTTTACATTGCAGTGGACACAGTAATTCACTCTGATTAGTTACAGCGTATGGGTCTATGTTATGTCTTTCTTTCCCTCCCTTTGTCCTTTTCTATGCTTCCTCTGAAATAGGACCCTTGTCATTAAAGCACTCTTGCTAACGGTTAAACAAACACTGCCTAAAATAATATTGTATTACCACAAGTATGGAATTCCAGGTGTGACATTATTCTACAGAAAGGTTTTTAATGTCCTCTTTTTATTTCAAAAGAATTATAATTAAGTACAAAAGGCAATTTTTTATAGCTTTGTTGTTCAGAACATTCTGAAGATCTTATTTTTTCCAAAACATAAAATTAAATGTGCCGCATTGGTTTTTGAAGTACATTTTTAAAACTAGAAGAAATAATGAAAGTAATTCAAAAGCTTTTGGAAGAACTTGTTCTTTTTATAATGTATTCATAAGAAAACTGGAGAAGCTGAAGAATGTACTAGCCACTGAGTATGTTGCCTGCCACATTGGAAACAGCTCCAAAAATAGCAGAAATTAGAATTGCATTTGAAATAGACCTTTGCTCTATTTTCTTTACTTATTTGGCCCTTAGGGAGTCAACTGCTTATTTAGAATCAAGACTTAATCACATCATAAATAGCTGGAATAATCCACAGAAATTTGCTCAGTCCCAAACTAAACCAAGTCTAGAGAAAGAATTTATTCTGAACTGTAGAATAAAGCAAAGTTTGATTAAAAACTCTCAATCTAATCCAATGCTAATGGATTAACATATAAATAGAGGTCCCCTGAGGTCATCTAATCCAACTGCCCAGTGATGCTTCATTTTCCCATTCCTTCCCCTACAATCACACACACCATGAACATGTAAACATATATTTACACAAATATTAATTGTATATTTAATGCATGTGTATTCTCACACATTCAGATATTCATGTAATATACACACCGGAACAAGTTGTTATCCATCATCTACTTAATTACTTCTGGTGACTGGCAGGAACTCACTTTTCACCATTCTAATGATAGCATAGAAAAGGGAAGATTTCATTTGTACTCAATGTGTGGTTTTAAGTTCTTTCACCCAGCGGCTACCTCACTAGTCAGTTCCCTCCCTCTTTCCTATGACTATATTGATACAGACAATAATCAACTTTAGAATGCTTCTGATATATCATTTTGCTATTTTGACCCAAACCTTTCTCCTTGAAAACATTTAAAGAAAATCAAGAGATTAATTATACTGAACCAAGATGTCATTTGATTTCAATTTCTGAATCTGTAAATACTCATACGACCCATGTAGCCATTTGTGTGAAAGCCACATGTGGTAAGACAGAGGCAAAGTGCATGTCAGAAGAAGGATCCTCAAGTATATGTTTTTCCTATAATGGCAGCTGCAAAATTTCTATCTGATCTGTGACCTCACGTGTTTATCTTTTTCTGACAATTAATGCTGAGTGTAGGCTAAACTTGATTTCTTATAAACTGGAACTTCCCCCATAAATGATCCCCCTTGACGTTTGTTTGCACCATGTCCCTGGGCACAGCGTTGGCATATCCATGCATCACAATGGGAAAGGACAGTGAGCAAATAAGCAGGTGTACTTTCTACCCATGGCACTTCCATTACTGAGCTAGTTTTCAAGTTAGATAGTCTGCCTTACTGAAATAGTCTTAGTAAATGGAAGCCGTTTCTACAAATGTGTTTTCATTTCTTAGGAAGAATTAAGGCTCATAAATGGTTCTCAGATGGCCGCTACCCACTAATCAAGGATGAAGGATTTACTTATTTAAACTATTCAAATGGGATTAAGACCACAAGTGTAGATACAAAACACAGTTCATGAATTTGTAGGTTGTCTTTGATGTTTTCAGTCTATGACTATAACACATGCCTGAATATAAAATAAAAATGTAATCGGATGCATTATCTTGATTCATAATTAATATATGCCACTTTTCTACATCATTTTTAATTTTGAGAATTTCTTAAACACACTATGTGTTTTAAAAAACTGAAGGAATTAAAAATATGTGATACATGAATTCAGTACTGTTCTTCTAGGACAAGATTCTTGGACATTTTTTGTTTTTGTTTTGTTTTTTATTCCAAGCAATTACCTAGTCACTATTTTAAGATCTCCTGACTGATACTTTCTTGGCTTTGTTTTATTTTCTTTAAAGCACCAGACATGTTTTGCTTTAAATTTCCACATGATCATTATACAAGGTCATTCTACCCATTAATAATAGTAATAATAACAATAACAATTTTTCACATATACAACTGCAGTTGTATGCTGGAACCATACTATGAATTCTTGGAATAATATGAGCCTCATTTGTCTTTCTGTGATCACTGACATTGAAAAGATACTTAATTACTATTTGTAAAGTTATGCCATGGTCAAGTCAAAGTATTGAGACAGAAATTAATCTCTCTCATTTTAGGCTACTCAAGCTTAAGGATTTTAGAGTACCACTAGAAACGTGCTCTTTTATGGCATCTTAATATTCTAAGAGATTAAATGTACATTTAAAAACATATTCTTACTTCATGTCAAATCCAGTCCAATGTGAATATGTACTTACATGTCAGCCCAGTTTCACTCTGAATCAGACCTGTTATCCACTTCCAGAAAGAAGCCCTCCAGAGGGCTATGTGGAGACAAATGAGAGTTGGTCTTACCCCTTTGGAAGAGGAACTCTCTGCAGAGCCACTTCATTCCCTTAAACGAGACTAGAAAGTCTCCTAAGGACTAAACAGAGAACCTCAGTTTCCCCATGATGACAGTTTCTTATGCATATCCTGGGGAAAAATGCATAAGAAAATATTATATTTGGCAGCATGTTTCAGCTGTTGGCAGGAGAGATATCAGTTGTTGCCTAAACAAGAACAGTTTAGGGAAAACCCTCTGTAACTGAGAAATGCACATTGGTCAGGCTCATGGAGAAGAGAAATCAAACTCCAAGTATATACAAAATCCTACTTAGAGAATTTTAATGGCTCCAAGGTACACCTGTACAATGTTTTAAAATTTAGCTATTGAGTTTAACTATTTAATGGTTGAAACTTCAACTCGGTGATATTGTTTTTCTCTCATTAAAATTTTATCTCTCGTAATTCTAAGAGAAATCTTAAAGCTCTTTACCAATCCTCAACAAGTAGAATATATGTAAGAAGATAAGCTCAGCTCATTTATTCCTGAGTTTCTGTTTTTAGAAATTTTACATTCTCTAAATCTACAGGAGGAGAGAAAATAAGTAGGCAAAGATACCTCTTTGCCTCTGGTCCCAAATGCTTTACAACTATATAGAGCTCTGAAAAAAATCAATGGAATTCTTTTCAATGTGATTGACAATACTGTTGTTTTCTACATTATTGAACTCTATATCTAGATTCACATATCATAAGCCTTCCAGCACAAACCAGACCTCTTCACAATTCCAAAAGTTCTTTACCAGAGGAACTCTAGCAGCTAGTATCTCTAAACAGTTAGCACATAAGTAAATAATGCTCCTCAGCTTAATGATGATGTAGTTTAAACATAATTGTGCTCAATCCATGTAGCTCCAAAGCTGATGAATGTGGAAACAATGGACAAAGAGACTTTTGGTACCTTGATCTCTTTTTTTGAGCGTCTTCTGTCAAAAGTATCCAGAAATTAAGTAATAAAGTATATATTGAAAATAAAATAGCAGCCCAAATGCAAACTGTTTGTGCTAACTGATTATCCATCTTTAATCTTGACATAAATATTTAATGGATTTTATTAAATATAGATAATTTATTTATTCATTTATAAATGAGTGTATATATACATATATCTTGGAACTATGGGAAGAAGGACTGAAGACTAACTACCCTCTTCTGAGTAGGATACAGATAGCACAGATGTCCTTATAGACAGCTCTGAAAACTGTAACTTCTTCATTTGTGCAGAGCTTCAGTTTATAGAGCACTTTTGCCAATGCTGAATCCTCTCTTACTCATAAGATTTCAGTCAATAGATGGCTTTGGTCCTCTGGGCCAATAGACTCTCAGAACCCGGTCATCCCAGTAGGCACTGGGACTAGGGTTGGATGACAGGTCACTGAAGAGATCTGGCAATGTACATGTCTGCCCTGATGACTCCCCTTGCTTCTGTAGGTGGGAGGCCACCCCATGGACCGCCTGCTCCTCTTCGTGTGGGGGGGGCATCCAGAGCCGGGCAGTTTCCTGTGTGGAGGAGGACATCCAAGGGCGTGTCGCTTCAGTGGAAGAGTGGAAATGCATGTACACCCCTAAGATGCCCATCGTGCAGCCCTGCAACATTTTTGACTGCCCTAAATGGCTGGCACAGGAGTGGTCTCCGGTAACCGTGCCTTCTTTCTTTGTTCATTAGGAGAGTAAGTCTACTCTTCCCTCTCATCATCTGGCTCCACAGGATACTCTGTGCAGCCACATTCTCCTCTTAGGGCATCTAGAAGCCCACCAGCTTAGTTCCTAGAGTAGGAATGCCCTCATCCAACACAACCAAAAGTATATGATTTCTGCTCAAATGTATTTCTTCAATTTCCTTAAATAGGCCTCTATTGCTCCCCCAGATAATGTTCCTTCAAATAGCCCAAGGAGACAAAGGTCTTTCATGAGTAATTGAGGTTGAATGATTGATCCCAAATCTTACAATGCTGCAGTGATGATAGAGCTCAGTAGACCAGATGTCTGATTTTACTTTTTTAATTATTATATTCTGTCCATATCCTAAAAGGGTTTGAGTGAACTTAAAGTTTATGTATATTATTCACTAGGGGAAAAAGATGAAATGAAATGAAAAGAGCACAATAATTAAAACAGAAATTAAATAGGGTAATTAAAGCCAAACAAATACGGATATTCAGAAACCTGCTGTAATTATATATAAAATGTTATTCTTAGGAGTTTTTTTGTTGTTGTCTTTTTTTTTTTTTAATTTTTGGCTCCTAATACAAAAAGGGACAAACTGACAAAAGAGATGGAATTTGAGTAAGTGAGCCAACATGCCCTGAGTCACAAACATGATAGAAGGCTTCATGAGGCTTGTGGCAACATCTCTATGTGACTTTTTTTTATATCAACATGCTACCAGACCTGTAGAACTATTGAAAGTGCTATCTACATCTGGCCATTAAACATTGCCTTGAAACATTTTTTCCCATTGCAATCTAATCAATTGCATCAACTATACTGCAATATAAATTAGCCGTGATGGCAGTTGAACATTTTTTAGTATTCACATGGGAGCTAGCACTTTCCATAACTTTCAACGTGGCACTCATTAGTAAAGCAACTAAAAAATGCTGTGTTGATCATTAAAATTGGGTACAGGCTACAATTTCTCTTCTCCTTCTTTTTGGTACTTAGTTAGAGACTTTGCACACAGTAGGTGCTTCTGATCTCTGACTCATTAATCCAAAGCTAAGAAATTAAAACCAATCTTATTTTCAGCCAGCTTCACCTCAAAAAGCCAAACAGAAGATCCTATGACTGGTTAGAAGTGATAGAAATACACCAGGCATCAGAAAGGAATCCTTATGTTAAGAGTCTTAGGTATAAAGTAAAGAAAAGTAAACATGGCTTTGCCTGTGAGTCTTTTCTCTCTTGCAATCTCTTTCCAGTGCACGGTGACGTGTGGTCAGGGCCTCAGGTACCGTGTAGTTCTCTGCATCGACCATCGAGGAATGCACACAGGAGGTTGTAGTCCCAAAACAAAGCCCCACATAAAGGAGGAATGCATCATACCCACTCCCTGCTATAAACCCAAAGGTAACTTGACAGGTGCTTTATTACCAGTTGCTTACTTGTTATGTGTATTCAGGTGCTATTCAAAATGCCTTGGAATAGTTTATGTATCCAAGTTTTTTCAATATGTAAAGACTTTAATATATTAGAACAGAATGGTTACAATAGCCAAAACATTAAGCAAAAATATAGAGGAATTGAATATCCCTCCAGGAGAGGTTTACATTTTTCTACTTGTCTATGGAACATTTACAAAAATATATTGTGTGTTTAGTCAGAAGGAAAATTTTTTTTCTTAGAAATCTTATAAACTTTATTTAGAAGTCTTTTTTTAATCATGATTTCTGGCTAACATATAATCATTGCACATCTTTGTGGGGTACAGTATGGCTTTTTGAAGCATAAATAGAGTGCATAAATAGAGTGTATAATCAAATCTACACAGGCAAATTTATTTTATTTGGCATTGAATACTACATTATGTTGTGCATATTTTATGATAGTTATATTAACTTTTGGTTTTGGTGCCTTCTTAAAGTATATATTTAGTAGGAAACAACATTTTTTTCTGCCATGATACACTATTTCATAACCTAATCTACTTTTTCACATGCATTATTGTATGTGAAATACAGTACCACCCCCCACACACACACAATACTCCTCTCCCCCATGTATCTTCTGGTATCTACATTGCTCTAGTTATGTATGCCATCAAGTCCTTCTGTTTCCTCCATAGAATATGGGCATGCAAAATATGTTAAGAGAGACACATAGTATTTGTCCTACATCACATCTCCTAGGATTGTTCTCTTAGTGTCATATGAGAGAATATTTTTCTTTATGGCTAAGTAGTATTCCATTGTGTATATGTGCCACATTTTCTTAATTCAGTCATCAGTTGGTGGGTACTTAGGTTGATCCCATGCCTTAGTTGTTATGAATGATGCTGCAGTAAACATGAATGTGCAATTCTCTCTTCAACAGGATAATTTCCCATCTCTTAGGTAAATATTCCAAGAATAGGATTACTGATCACACCAAGTTTTTTTTTTTTTTCTTTTTTTGGAGAGGTTTTTGCAATAGGGCACGTGCAATCACCAGAAAGACAGAGACAGAGAGACAGAGAGCTAGAAATCACCCCCCAGGGGGGATGGCCATACCACAATCCCTTCTCCTCCATTCTCTTCTCCTTTCGGGATCTTTGGCATGCATGCACATGCGCCCAGCATGAGTTTAAGCCACCTGGTCTGGGACTCAAAACACGGTCATCTACATTGGAGTTCGGGGACACAGCCATTACGCTAACTGCTGGTCCCACCAAGTTGTTTTTCTTGTTTTGTTTTGTTTTTGAAGGCAGAGTTTTACTTGTTGCAACTCCTCTGAGTAGCTAGAATTAGAACCACATGCTACCACATCCACCTTCAGGTCAGGACAGATATCAAACCCAGGACTCCCATCTGGCCTCAACCTGCAAAACAGCAGTGTCTTACCAGTGTACCACTACAGCTGGCCACCAAGCATTCTTAGTTATAATTTTTTATAACTTAGACTCTACTATATAGAACTGATTCTTTTTGTAAATCCTTCAAATGGTTTTGATTGTGAATTTTTTAAAAAACACTACCTATAGGATAATCATCTCCCAAATCATAAAGTTGTTTGAAGACTGTTTCTAAAAATATCAGCTGTATCTGCTTTAAGAGGGACAAGGTATTAAGAAACAGGAGGAGTCCTCAAGGAGTTCAAGGAGTTCATGAAAATGCATATTATGAAAAAAGTATGCATGGATTTAAAAATTGTTTGCACCAAAATGAACTTACACTTTAATTCTACTTCCCCACAAAGTTTTTGAGGTCCACTCACATATATGTAACTTACTATTCACATTTCTTTCTGTTAAAAACAAAGGAGTGAACTCAAGTGTTTCTACTTTGCTAAGCCTGATATACATTGGAAGTCTTATACTTTAAAATGATTAAACAGAAAACTTGCTTTTTATATCAACAATTAAAATAATACTATGAGACTGAATTCCTAAATCATAATTTAAAATGAAAATTTGAAATGTATACTAATTAATAAATACTGCAGATAATTTATAAAAATAAATTTTAAAAAAGTTTTATGTAGTAAGATTTATTATCATGGCACTGGGTCTTACAAATTAACGTGAATGCTACTCCTACTTCTTCACTAGCATTGTTACTAGTCTTTGTTAATTAAATAAAAAAATCTGAAGCCATGAACCAATCAGAAGATCTCTTTACTGTCAGCCTCCTTCAATTTATTTCCCCCCTTTTTTTAATTGCCAGAGCATGCATGAACTCTCCAGAGAGAGAGAAACAGAGAGGTGGAGAGAGAAAAAACACCCTACACTGGGGTGTGATTATGCTACAGTCCTTGTTCTTCCATTTCTTCATCCCATCAGGATGTTGGATGTGCATGTATAGGTGTCCAGTGGACTGGGATTCAAACTGCAGTCAGCCGTGTAGGATCTGGCTCCCTTCACACAGCACTGAACTACTGTACTATGGGGCCAACCCACCTCCTTTAAATTTTAATGTCAAATATGATTCCCATTTTTGTCTTAATTTACTTCTTTAAACCATTATAGTTCTCTAATTATTAGCCACAGCGTGGCTCTTGATTATGCTGTAGGATGACCTTAGTACAATTGAATTGCACCACGAAACCTTAATTAATTGTATAAAAGGAACCCAAAACACAAAAGTGGCATGTTTTTTGGCACTTGATTAATTTTAATAGGCATAACTCTCTCTTATGTCTCAGTTTCTTCATCTATAAAATGGGGATGATAATAGTCTCTATCTCAGAAATCATATGAGGGTTAAATAAGATATCATAGAAAGTACTTAACCTAGTGCCTGGAATATAGTAAGGTAGTTTTTGACAACTATTATCTTTACTTCTTGAGTATTGTTAGTACCCTCAAATATGGGAGGAGATGCTCATGGGTACATCTGACATGACTTGGTTCCAGTCAGAAGTGTGAAAAGCTTACTATTATCACCAAACTCAATGCTTCATCGTTGACTGAGCGAGTCGCCTAACTGGGGAGATGGTGTAGCTGTGATGTGTATGCACAGCCACCGCATTCCAGTGTTTAAGATGTCAGCCAAGTCCTGGACTTTGGCTGTCATTTCTCACCCATTTTGTTTCTGTAAACAATTACTGGAAGTGATGGACAGAAGTGATGTTCCTAACTTAAAATGGTCAATTATTTATTAGTTCTATCTTTACCAAGCCACTTCAGAGAAAGAAAAGCAGTTTGTGGTTAACTATCAAGAATAAAATCTACATCTTCACAACCAAGTAGTGAGCTTGGCTCTCTAAACATCATTAAAATACCATATAATTCTATGGTGTATGCATATATAGACATAATTCTTTCATCTTTGCAATTACAGTTATAAATGGTGCTACAGCCTCACTGGCTCATACTGCAAAGGCAAATATGCCTATAAAGAACCCTAATAAATATGTCAGAATGAGAATTTTGGCAGTTACTTCTATAGGGGCAGTTAGAACCTCCCTCTTTCTTTTCCTCCTTCATATTTTTTTCCCCAGGTAGTAGTTAAGAAACTTGTTCTGAATTGTTTGGCCTGAGCTAAACAAGTAGGTGAAAGGAATCAAATTATGGGTTATGGACCTTAAGATGTGCATGTTTCAATTGTCTGTGAGCCTTAAGGTGGTTTTGAATGAGCTATGTGCAGTAATTTTCTGTAAATTTCAGAGTAGCCGACCTTGATTGTTTTTGACAATGTGGTGTAGATCGCAGTTGGCCAAAAGGAAAACACATACACACAACAGAATTTATGAAACTATTAAGATATAATTTATTATACTTCATAAAATACAATATTTACAATGGTAGATATTGCTATATCATTTCAATGAGTAATAGTGAAAAGATATTTAATACTTTGATGAGTCTTGATTGAGCCAGTGTTCCCAGAGTTATGCTTTTTTTCTTTCTTTCTTTTTTAGAGAGAGATTTTTGCTATAGGATACATGCACTCACCAGAGAGACAGAGATAAACAGAGACAGAGAGACAGAAAGTGAGAAATCACCTCCCGAAGGAATGGCCAGGTTGCCCCATGCCACAATCTGCTCTCCTCCATTCTCCTCTTGTGGTTTTGAGCACACACACAAACATGCCCGGTGTGAGTTTAAGCCTCTGGGCCCAGGACTCTAACTGCAGTCACCTACATGAGAGTCCAGGAACGTAACTATTACGCCATCTGCTGGTTCCAAGTTACGATTTTCATAATTGAAGGACTTGCTTTTGCCATTCAACATAGTAAAGGGGAAGCATGTACACAGAAACTAATGTTATTGAACATTTTAAAAATCCAGTTCTATTTTTCTTGATAAGATCTTCATCTATAAAATGCATAGGCGGCAACTTACCTAATGATGTAATACTTATGGTTATCAACATAGTAACCTCTTGGTACAGCAAAAAATTAAGAACTAGTTAGAAGAAAAAGGAATTTCCCTGAAATTTCAGACTGATTCTAACCTCTTCTCTTTTATGTGCCCACACTTAATTCGTAGAAAAACTTCCGGTAGAGGCCAAGCTGCCATGGTACAAACAAGCTCAGGAACTGGAAGAAGGAGCTGCCGTGTCAGAGGAACCCTCGTAAGTTTTGAAGGCACAAACTGCCCACTTTAGAAGCTGATTAGTTTTTAAAAAGTTGTGTCTCCCTCAGGGTAGCTTTCATGGGGTCTGAGCTGTCAGCATTTTATCAAGGGTGAAAAAAGACTTTGGAGGCTTTCTAATTAGAGACTTACCAAAGTGTTTGTCAAAACTTATGACTGGCCTCTAAATACTTTTCAGTGTTGACTAGAGTAGGAAATTGAAGGTGTAGTGCTTCTTTCTTCTGACCTCTTTCCCCTTGAGATGGGGCCAAAGGTGAGAAGGCCCAGCTACATCTGATGATGTAGCAGTGATTTGATGTGAAAGACTGGGCAACGTTTCACACCTCTTATCTGCCAGATTTGTAATATAACTGCTCAGTAAATCAAAGGGTAAGTAAAACATATTTGCGGCAAGGGAAGTTCATTAGCTTTCCTTTGCTTTCTTTCTGGGATTGGTATCAGAAGAAAACCCTGGACTTGATCTTGTTTTCATACCTCTTCCATTTTATCAAGCTCATAATTTTTTTTTTTCTGAGAGGTTTTTGCTATAGGGCACGTGTGCTTGCCAGAAAGACAGAGAGAGACAGAGACAGAAAGCAAGAAATCACCCCTCGGAGGATGGCCACACCACAATCTCTTCTCCTCCATTCTCCTCTGAGGACCTTGGGCACACACACACGCGCGCACCTGGCATGAGTCTAAGTCACCGGGTTTGGGACTCAAACCATGGTCGACTACATGGGATTCCAACGACATAGCCATTACGCTTCTTGCTGGTCCTGAGCCCATAAATTTTTAAGTCCACTAGACACAGTTTCACCAGATGTTTCAGAAAAGGAAACAAAAAAGATAGACAAAATTAGATGAAATGATTGATTGATAAGTATACAGTAATTCTACTAGAAAACACTGGTAGGTTTACCTGCTACATCATTTTTACAAATGAGAGAATGCATTTTAGTGATCAATTTCATTTATAACCAAAGCAATTTTTCAGGTTGAAGTGTTCTAGATTAATTCATTTACTATTATATAAGTACTAGATTCTACACTATTCACTGGTACAGAGATATGTCACCTACTTCCCAGGAGCTCATAGTGCAGAGTGTAGAGGACGTAATGGTTTCCAAATTCAATGTATAGTTTACATTTTACTAGAGATAAAATTAACATTGTACTCTACATATTCAAATACATTTGGAATTTTCTCAGATTCATCCTGAGACTAATCTGATGTGGTTTTACAGAATAGAAATTGTTTTCCTGAACGTCACTCTAAACAGCAAAAGACACAACAAGAAATCCAAAATGAAGATTCGTACAACCACCACAGGTCATTTGTCAGGATATGGTATTATGTCACACGATTTCACAGAAAAAAGTACATATATTAGGTAACATGTTTCTTACTTAAAATAACAATTAACCAAAACATAACCTATTTCTGCACCCTGAAGTTACCACAGCAATCTCTTCTACTTCTTCGAGAAAAAGCAACTAACAATTGCAAAACTTTGAAGCAAAGGTTATTTCACAAAGTAATCTTTAAGTGAATATATACACACTTTTTTGTCTCTCTCCTGCCAATACCTACTTTGGTAGTCCTTCTGGTTGCTAAAGAGGAAGTAAGCAGTTCATTTTAGAAAGACATTAACTCCTTAATCCACTGAGGTCCTATTTAAGACACAGAAAGATGCAATGTTAATTGGAGCTGGCTACTCCTTGTATATGTTCTGGAGTTAAGTATGTTTAAAACCAGATAGCTATTATATTGCCTATATAAACTCTCTGCTCTCCTTGTATGCTGTCTTTTGCCATTCAGCCCAAAACATAGTCTTGTCTGTAATATTTCACAGACAATAATATTGCAATATTGCATTTTAGTTGATGTTAAATATAACAGAGCTGAAGATAAATGAAAACAGTATACCTCTGTCATTACACATCTTTCCCATTACAAGATACCTCTCAAATGAAAGCTGTAAGTGGAGCTTAATGCTTTTGCAGTGGTAGTCTATAGACCAAGGCCAATCACATTGTGTAATAACTGTTTTCTACTGAAGGTCTGATTAAAATGCATTATGTTGAACTTTAATCTTAGTAAAATCCCTCCAGTAGTTAAACACATCGTTTTAGCCATTGAAAGTATAGCCATATATTAGACTATTAAATTTTATACTTACTGTAATGGCGTTGCCATCTTGGCATGATTAATCTGGATTGAAGTAGATTGTAATTGGAGCGCCGGTGCAAGGTAAAGGAAATGTATACTATTAGGCACAGAATAATAATTACTTTTACACTAAAATGAAATAAATGACAGCAGTAGAAGAATGCAATGAAAGGTGTATGGTTTCCACATTTTAATATACTTTACATGTTTACTATGCTGAACCCTAGCAAAGGTCCTAAGTGTCACATTATTTTTTTTATGGATCTTGAATTTAAAAACATAATTTTGATGATCTCTTGATTCATTCTTTTTTAAAACCGTATATGCCAGAGTCTAAGTATTTGTGGCAACCTATAAGTCCTCTCCAACGTGTAATGAAAACAATGAGATATTGTCAGCAAGTCATCTCTTCACCAGAGAGACTCTTACTGCTTGAATTAAATGGTAATGTTCAGAAGCTGTGGCTGTCACTCCTGCACTGCTGCAGCGAAGCAGGAACACTGGTCCAGAACTCATCCATGCTCTCACCCATACTCTGGCTTCAGCCAACAGTGGAGAGTTCTGTAGTTAAGCAGCAAATATCAATTGTTCCTCCATATGGAAAATGAAAATATTATCACTCGCCTTTAATACAGGAAAATGACTAGATTGAAGTCTGTAGCATATGGAGATACCCTTATTAAATGTTAGGCACTTTTAATAACCAAAAAATGTAGG